GAGCTATTTGGCTAGCATTTCATCTTCCATTCTCATCATTTGGCAAGAAAGGGAGATTCAGGATTATATTTATTGATGGTAACTTTTCAATTAATGTATCTGTAAATGTTTCTTTGTAAATATTATGTGTTCTGGTGTGTCTTAAGATTCCAAACAAAATGATCCCTGCATTTCCTGAAAATGTTTAATGACAGCCTGATAAGCTAAGCAGTCTGAGGAAGAATAGGAAATGCAGAAATAGATTTTATCTGGTTGCATATAATCTTTGCTCTTTTAAAGCTCTGTGAGCTCTGAAATATATTTTTGGATTACTTCAGTGCACTTGACAAGACAGCTTGATATTTCTAACAAACAAATAAATGACTTTCATATTACAAATCTTTGTAAGAACCACTCAAAATTCTCTTAAAAAGACAAAAAAGTAACAAACTAAGAGATATTAATACAACACATTTCTGTGAATAATAATCATATTTTCACAACAAAAATTAATAATAAATGTGGCCTTGTGGCACAATTTGCAAATCTCTCTAATGCTTCTTTTTAACAGCAGGCATATGAATTTGCAGGTGTACATTTTCATTCAACCACTTGCAACATCACATCAGGCAAAGAAACTGAGAAAGAAAATACAAAATACTGATGTTGCTTAGGGAAAAAAGTATTGAAACTTCCAGACTCACTGAAGGATCTTGGTTGACCCAGGGATGCTTGAACTAAATTTTGGGAATCGCTGTCCCACGAAAGGTAAGTAACGTGAGGCGTATAAGAGATTACCCATGAAAGAACCCCAGGGCTGAGGCGCTGCTCTCCGGGGGACAGGGGTCGCTGTGCAGGGAAGCCAGGTCCGCGGGGACTCACTGTGCCCCAGGGCACAGGCGCCCACTATTACGTGACTCATTACTGACGAATGAACGCACACTGTTCTTCCCTCTCGGAGAAAGGAGCTGCTGCCTCGAACCCGCACCCAGCACACAGCCCTGGCCTTTGTAGTCACCCTGCAAAACACAGAACGCAACAGCGCCGGCAGGTGAGGGTGCGAAGGAGGCGGAGGCCGCACTGGACCCGCGCCCGCCCAAGGCTGCGGGTCCGTCCCTCCAGGCAGTCACAGGACACGGAGCATGCGCCGGGCTCAAGATCCACGTCACAGAGACCCGGGTCTCGGGCACGGACGTCGGGCGTCACGGAGTTCAGCGCGGGTGAACGCGAGACCTGGCGGCTGAGAAGCGGCTCCTCCCCAGCGGCGCGCCCGGCCAGGTCCCGGCCCAGCGCAGGCTCTGCGGCACTGTGCGGTTCCCTCCTCAGCCACGCCCAAGAAAGCCTCCCGGGCTGGGCCGAAAGACAGAAAGAGGTACAGATCTGCGTATCCATGTTGAAGCAGCATTTCTCACGACAGCAGAAGAGCAGAGCCCTGATGGGGCACAGACCTGCGATCCCGGCACTCCGAGAGGCTGGGGCAGGAGGACCACAAGTTTGAGCCCAGCCTGGGCAACTCAGCAGCACCTTGCCTTAAAATGCTAAAGGCCGAGGATGTACCTCAGTTCGAAGGCTCTGGGTTCAATTCCAGTACCAAAGGGGGAAAAGAAGCTGTAGCCACCCAAGCATCCATTAATGGATGAATGAACAAACAACGTGTAGTCTGTGCGTACAGTGGAATATTATTCAGCCGAACAAAGGGAAGAACATTCTGGAGCATTCTAACACATGTTACAACACACGACTGTACCGTTAAACTACAGCAACTGCGACAAGCCAGCCACAGGAGGGCAGCTGGCGCGGCCCAGGCACACGGAGCACGGAGAGCGCTCGCCGACTCCAGACAGAAGACCGCAGCGGGGCGGGGCGGGACGGCGCGGGGAGGGGCTGCAGCGAGTGGACACGCGGTGGCAACACCCTTAAGGCCACCAGAGTGCACCTTAACAAAGTCTCAAAGTGTAGATCATGCAAAGCCTATGCTTGAGGATTAACATTAGAAAACTGGGTAAATTAGAAATGAAGTGAATTTTATTCTGTGTGTACTTTACCACATTACAGTTTTCAGACTTTTGAGCCTACTTAGCCCTGACTCAACAACGGCCTCTAGTGGCGGCAGAGGCGCTTGACACTGCCCTAGGCGATGCCCCATCAAACGAGAAAATAGAAGGCACTTTCTAAGCCGGGGCGTTGAAGTATTTTCCATTTTTGTTTCGTAAGATTTTTTCCAGGGTACAAAGTTTGTGCCCCGGCCAGGGCCTGCAGCACGTTGGACGGGTGTCCGCCTGCCCGAGACGCCCTGCAGCCTGGCGCGAGCCTGGGGAGCCAGGACGGGGCCGGTGAAAGGAGCCAGCCCTCCAGCGCCCTGATGGAGCCAGGCCCGGCTGCACCTCCTCTGGGGAGACCTCGGGGCTCGAAGAGGCCGGCTTCGGGCGGTGCAGCCCTGTGCTGCGGCCTCAGCCTCCGAGGGGCCTGGGCTGCTGTCTGGCTCCGGCCGCTTGGCAGTGTCCCACAGGGGGCTGTGAGGGGGGAATTGCTCGGGTGGACAGTGCTTGTTAGTGCGCTTGTCCGTGGAGGAGTCTTCCAGAGCCCCGTCCAGCCCCGTCCAGCCCCGTCCAGCCCCGCACACGCATGCGCACTCGCTCACACAGGCGCATGCGCACAGGGGATGAGGCGGTGCCACGGGGATTCCCAGGCTCCAACACAACATGCAGTTCACGGCTTCGTGAATCAGTTTCACACGCAGTGGTTAAAGAGATCAGGAAATGTTTGCCATTTAAGAATTTAAGGCAGCTGCAGTGGTGCTCGCCTGTGATCGCAGCACTCAGGAGGCTGAGGCAGGAGGAACACAAGTTCAAGCCCAGCCTGGGCAGCCTACTGCCTTAGCAGGACCCTGTCTGAGAATAAAAACTAATTTACAAGATGAGAGGAGGGTGAACTGGGGATGTGGCTCAGTGCAACGGTCCTTGGTTCAGTCCCTAGTACCACAGAAAATGAATGGGTAAATACATAAATAAGACGGCTACACTGGCAAGAGGAAGGGGCTCACCGCACCCGAGGGCCACATTAGGATGGGCAGTGCACGGCCACACAAGTCGCCCGCCACCCTATGCCGTGTCCCGAGCTCCTCACTCACCCGTCGTGTGAGCCACCGGCTCCTCCCGTACTGCGGCGCCCAGGAAGGAAGCGCAGGCTTCTTGGCCTTTCTGAAGGTGCCAGAGTCTGACGGATGCGGATGCGCCTCTCCCGGAGCCGTCAGCGCCTCACTAAGGACTCGCCCGGGACCCACAGCTGTAGAGAACGTGGCGGCTTTCCGGGGGCTCCCAAGGCTCACTCTGGCCCCCCAGAAGACAGTAGGGAGGAGAAGGGCCCGTCCCCATCCTGTGAGGCGCAAGGGTGTGAGATGCCTGAAGCTCGCATGCGAATGCGTGAGGTCAAAGGAGAACCCCCAGGCCCAGAAACGACCCAGTGGCGCCGCTGCAGCGGGCAGTGGTCCCGCAGCCCAGGCCAGGCGCGGAACACGGGGAGTGAGCTTCTCTTCGTTACATCTGATAAAACCCCAACAAACCCAATAGCGGCGGCTTTTTTTTTTTTGCTTGTATTTTGTTGTTGTTGTTTTGGTGGTGGTGGTGGTGCTAGGATTGAACCCAGGCCTTTGCACTGAGCTCCATCCCCAGCCCATTTTTAATTTTTTTAAAATTACAATATCAAAATTTAGAGGACATTACCACAGATTTTACAGAATTTAACACGATATAGAAAGCATATTACAAAAATCTTATTTGAAATAAATTGGACAACTTCTAAGAAGTACCTTGGAAGACAAATTAATGAAACTGACTCTGGAGGAAATATCAAATTTGAATAGCACCTATTAAAGAAAGTATATTCCTAGCTTGAAAACCTACCTATATGACAACAACAGGCTCATAAACATTTTAACTGATAAATTATATCAAACATTTAAAGCAGAAGAAGGAACACTCCTCCCCTCATTTTAGGAAATCAACATTGTGCTAACCCTAAAACTGGATAAAGATAATAGAAGAAAAAAGTAGGAACATAGATAGAAATTTGTTTTACAAAACAAACTATTAGAAGTCAGGTCTGGCAGGATGTAGAAAGTGGTTATGTTATAGGGATGGCAGTGTTGGTTCAGCATTGGAAGATCCACCCCCAAAAGTCATCATTTTAACAGAGGAAAGGAAAAAGCCCTCTGATCCTGTCAGTAGTTGCAGAAAAAGTATTGAACTAAATTCTACAGCTGTTCATGGTAAAAGCTATCAGGAGACTAGAAGTAGAACAGAACCTTCTCAACAGATCAAAGACACGTACTCCATACTTCCAGTGAGAATGCCTTATATGAATGGAGAAGATACAATGCTTTCTCCCTAAGGTGGGGAACAAGGGCAGATATGCTTACTCTTCATCTGTCCATTAAACTTTGAAACCTAGGCCCCACCAAAATAGACTGGCAATAAAAAGACACAATTAGCATAGGATTGGCAAGGTAGAAGCAAAATCTTTATATGTAGATGAAGTGATCATCTACAGAGAAAATACTAAGAAATCTCTAAGTGCCCCTAGAACTTGTCATTTTAATTTTTTTTTATTTTGAGGCAGGTTCTTGCTAAGTCACTAAATTGCCCAGGCTGAGCTCAAACTCATGACCCTTCTGCCTCAGCCTCCCAGCATGCTGAGATTACAGGCTCTGGGTTCCTCTTTTCAGGACTAGTTGCTTACTGGGTGCAGTCAGCCCAAGTGGAAGATAGCTCATCTCGTGCTTCTCCCTGCTGATTTCTCTAGTAAACTTAAGGCAGGCTGTCGAAAAGCCTTTTAATACAAAATGGCACAAGGAGTATACAGTCTCTACACACACACACATACACACACACACACACACACACACATACTCATGCACAATTTAAAAAGAGCAGGATGTCATATCACCCAGTATTAGATAAGCAAAGTTTTAGGCAAATGATTAATTTGGTTAAAGACAATCATTTCACATTTGACAAAAGATGCAGAGTCGGCTTTAACTAACATTTATTAAGTGCCTACTACAGGACAGGGACTGTGCTTGTTGTTTTTTATAGATTATTTAATAGGCAACGACATAACAATGCTGGACTTATTTGCATCAAATTACACAGCTGTTGAATACATACCACAAATACTATAAAAATATATTGCTAAACCAATCATACTAACATTTTCATATAACCTTATTGGTTTTTGAAAGATACAGTAAGCCAACATTATATAACATATGAATCTGAACAATATAATTGATAAGACTGAGTTAATGAAAAGACACATAGTTTTCTACACAGAATACATATTCATCTTAGATGTCCATGAAACAGCAACAAAAATTTGATATTTTCCAGGCCACAGTAAAAGCTTTTTAAAATATTTTGAAAACAGATATATTATAGGCCACATTCTCTGTTCACAGTGCAGTAAAACAAGAAAACAAAACTTTTTAAACAAAATAATGAGCAAAATTACTGAGTTTTAAAGCACTCTCTAAGAACATTACAAAAAACAACAAAGGAATGTAAATTGTTAACCTGTAAGATGTGGCCAGAGATATATCCAGAAATACCTTTATATTAAATATGCTATTATTGCAAATATAAAAACTATATAAACACTCAACTTAAAAATTGAGACAAATCATAAAAACAATAAAAATAGACAATAGATATTAAGGAAAAGCTATTATAATTAAGAAAAATAATGGATATAAATAGATCCTAACACTGGCTCTTTGACAAAACATTATATAATTCGTTGACAAGTCAAATAATGGGTAACTCACACAAAGAAGTTGAGAATGGACACAGAAGAGGACAAAGGAAAGGTTTGTGTTTAGTTATAAAATAGTGCGCACCATAGGATAATAATCTGAAAAACTCCATGGAATTAAGAATTCTCTAGGGGAAAAAGAACATCATAAGTCATCAAAATGAGTCCATGAAGTGAGAAGTGTCAACAGACTGATGGCATGGGGAGAACTGAGAGAGCTGCCCAAGAATTGGCTGAAATGTCCCCTCCATGACTCTAGGGTCTGATCATTTTATTGGTGGATCCTTTAAGATGGCGAGGGCTAGATAATCCTCAAGCTACAGCTGTGATTCAGAACCACAGAGAAGGGTAAGAGCTGCTCAGCTGTTCCTATGAGGCAGGCTCCTCCATCACACCCAGCTTCACCAAGATAGCACCCAACTCACATATGAAGATGGAGGCAAGAATCTCACATGAACATCAAGAAAAAATAACTCAGTACATGAAAAGAGAGTGGACCACAATCCGTGGAATGCAAAAATGGTTCGATAAGAAATCTATTAAATCTCACTCATTCTAAATTGGACATTTTTTCACCTTCTCTGAAGTTAGGAGGTGGCATTTTACAATTAAAACAAGCATTTTTCTTTCTCAATGGTATATAAAATAATATGTGCTCTGCAATTAATGATGTCTTAATTTTAATGAAATACAGTAATGTAAAACTTCATACTAAAAGGTTTTTTTTTAAAAAAAAAAATCATCTTTGTGGATATTTGAAAGGCATTTGAAAATATTCAAAACTCATCCCTGATTTTTAACCAGGACACGTCCTCAAGATGACACAGGGGATCTATCTGAAAACAAAGGTCACTGGGATAATCAAACGTGAAACATCATAGGCATCCCCGTCAAAACCAGGAACAAGAACAGCACACACACTATCAACACTATGGTCGTTTGTTGTGGAGCTTTTGACCACTCCACCAAGCCCTGAAACAGAAGAGAAGAAAGTATAAATACTGGAAAGAAAGGGAACACCAGCCTTACTTATAGGAAAATAGGATTATACGATTAGAAATAAAACAACATATTAACAGAGAAGTTATTTAAATTTAAAGCTGTATGACAGAGTGGCTAGAGGTAAGATAATCACACAAGAGTAAGTAACATACTTATGCTCTATGGGAGGAAATTTCAGGGGGAAAAAATGGGATGAAAACGCCATTGGTGTATAAAGTCCTGCAGTTCTAAAATAGCCTTTTTATGCAAACGCCCCATCAAAAGACATTTGCGTGTGAGTTGTATTCTTTGACCCAACTCCCGTCTTGACTTCCCAACTGCATTTCTCACTGTCTGCTCACCACCTCCCTTTGGATATGCAACGGGGGCACCAAAGTTTACACGTGCCACACAAACATCCTCGCATCTCCCCGGCCCTCAAACCCAGGTCCTCGCCCGTGTGAGTCCCACATTACTCCTGCAGGCCTCTCCGGGCCTCCTCTGTGGCATCCTGGACCCTCCTCTCCCACACCCCAGTCTTCCCAGCCATGGCGAAGGCTGCTGACTTTGCCTTCAGAACACCTCAGGAAGCCGACCGCTTCCCTCCCCTCTGCTACCACCACCCCTCTGTGCCTCACTCCTCTCTGGCCTGAAGTAAACTTGAAAGAGTGGAGATGATCAAGGCATGCCACGAAAGCCATCCAGAATATACCGGGAAGACACCAAATGCAGAACAAGACTCCTGATCCCACCTCCTCTTCCCGGTATGTGCAGTCTGCTGGACAACTCTTCAGCTGGAGTCTGATGAAACCAAAGCTCGTCTGTGTGAGCAGGAATCAAGGGCCGTGGCTGCCTCCAGAGGGGAGACAGGCCGGAAAGGAGGAGGAGGACGTGGGCGCTCGGGCCTCAGGCGGGGTGCGGGGTGCACACGATGCACGTGTGTTACTCTGATCTGTGTTTTCTTAGAAATCACTACTCTATCATTTCAGAAGGCAGAATATGAAATTAAGAAAATGTAATAAGCACAAGTCACCCGAAATACAAACATTCTGCATTTGGGTGATGGTTTAGGTCCAGATGTCGCCCGGGAGCCTCGTGCACTCACTGGACCGCGGGGCCTGGCCATGAGCTGCAGGGCTGCAGCTCCCTCCCGGGATCCTCCTTCCACTCCAGCTTCCTGGCGGCCATGAGGCTCCCCACACACCAGGCTCTCCCGCTGCACCGCTGACCCTGCAAGGACTGAAGCTTCCAAAACAAAACGGGAGCCAGGATAAACCTCTGTCCCATCCAGCTGTGGGTTCCCCTACTTCACCCCAGTGATGAGAAAAGTGACCAGGACAGTGCCCTGCACTGGTATCTGACTGGGTCCCGCTGCTCCCGATCCCCAGGGGCCGGGCCATCACTTCTGCTCCATGGCTCCTGTCCGTGGTGCCCCTTCTCCTGAGAAATGCCCTGTGCCGATGGGAGCCCTCTCCCCGCGAACCCTGGGCTACATCGTCCTCCGGGCAGCCAGGGCCCAGGGAAGGAACCAGGGGGTGTCACGGACGCTGGCCCAGAGAGGACAATGCCCCACACTGTCCACGCCCTAGAGCTCCCCTTGGGAGCAGGCAGGGGCTGGACTTCATCTGCATATGCACATAGCTCTTATTATAGGTCAAGGGTGCTAGGTCGCTATGAGTTATTCCTGCACTGTACCCTGCCTGATTTACAAATTAAATGTCACCCTGGGTGTGCATGCATAGGAAACACACAGTGGGTACAGGGCTGATATCACCAGGTTTCAGCCCCTCTCTGGGGGCCCTGAGCCACCCTCTGGACGGGCAGGGGCCCTGACACAGCCTGAGGCGTCTCCCGAGGCGAACACTGCCCAGGGGGAGCACACGGAACAGGAAGCAGCTCATCAGCAGGGCATGGAGGCACACTCCTGTTCCCCAGTCTTCCAAGAGGCTGAGGCAGGAGGACCATAAGTTCAAGCCCAGCCTGGGAAAGGTAGCGACTTAGCAAGGCCCTGTCCCCAAAGAGCTGGGACGTAGCTCAGGGCGAAGGCCTGGGTTCAATCCCCGGTACCACTCCCCCAAAAGGCTGATCATGCTAAGTCCCCGCATCCACCATGCTCCCTCCCTGGTTTACTCCCCTCCGAGAAAGCCATGCCTGGCCTGGGCTGCAGGACCACTGCCCGCTGCAGCAGCTGCAGCGGCGCCACTGGGTCGTTTCTGGGCCTTGGGTTCTCCTTTGGCCTCACGCATTCGCATGCGAGCTTCGGGCATCGCACACGCTTGCGCCTCACAGGACGGGGACGGGCCCTTCTCCTCCCTGCTGTCTTCTGGGTGCCCAGAGTGGGCCTTGGGAGCCCCCGGAAAGCCGCCCCCTTCTCTCCACAAGGGTCATGTGACACACGAGCAGGGCAGCAGGGGGAGGCACTGTCCACCGCCCTCCTGGGGAGGACCGAGGTGGGCGAGTGCGCCCAGTGGATCGCTGCACACTGGCTTCCAACTGCAGCTCTGCCGCTCACGTGCTGACAGGGAGGAAGTCACTACCTCGCTGTGCCTTCACTTGCCCATCTGTACACTGGGCGTAGGTCTTCCTCGAGGTCTGATACGAGGGTTAAGTAAATTAGGGTAGGTAGAGTCACAGCGAGGGCTGCCTGGCCTGGCAGCGAGTGCCATCAAAGGCCGCTGGTCCTGGGCACCTGTCCCTCTCTCTCTCCTAGGGGGGACCCAGAAAGGGGTCCATGGGCCACAGATGAGCGAATGGCAGAGTGGACCATGGGCCACGGCTTGAAGGTGTTCTCCGAATGCTGCTGTTGGAAACTTCATCCCCAAATTCATACGCTGATGGATCAGGAGGTGGGGCCCTGGGCCACGAGGTCCTGATGGTGGGGCCCGAGATGGTGTCGCAGGGAGGAGACCGAAACTGGAGCCAGCACCATGCTCTGTTTCTCCGGGTGACCCCGTCTGCCGCGCTAAGACACGGCAAGGCCCGCGGGGTGGGACAGACGAGGGTCACAGGCCCTGCTGTTCTGCACGGTGAAGGGGCCGAGCTCTGCTCCCCGCTCCTGGGGAGGAGGCTTCTTCACATGGGACTTCCAGCTCCACTTCCGCCAGCTGAGCGAACCTTTCCTCACGAACCGCACGGCCTGTGCTGCTCCATGGTCGCCACAGGAAGTTAACTGAGTGTCCTGCTCCCAGGCTGGATGCTGCCTCTCCCCTGTCCTCCCTGGCCTTGCCCTGGGACACCCCGAAGTCAGGAAGGCCTGGGGCCCACGCTCCGCGCCCCCGTCCCCTCCACCCAAGGCCTCGGCCTCCCTCTGACGCCGCCACCTGCTCCTTGTGGGGCCAGCAGGAGCCTTCCAGCCCCTCTCTGCCTCCATCTCCTCACCTGTGAAGAGAGAGCCTGCACTGACCGCGAGCACAGGCCCAGGGAAAGCTGGGCTAGCAAGGGCGTCAGGAGTGCGCGGCCCCGCACTCCGCTGCAGACTCACGGAGCCCAGCCCGGCCACATCGGCCACCGGGACGGGACGCTCCTCAGCCGGGCCAGGGCCCCCCTGCCTCGGGCCTCGGCACCCACGGCACCCCCACATCTGCCTGTCTCACTCCCTGACTCCTTCAGCCTTTCCCGTCAAGGACTCCGGGGACAGCTTCCCTCGCCCTCAACGCCTCCCGCGCTGGCTTCTGACTTCACACCTCACCGAGCACTCACTCCAGCCAACACCCAAGCTGCTTCCTCTGCTCCCCATCCATCCACCTGGGCAGCCGAAACCCTGCTGGAGGCAAGCATCGTTTCCGACCCATTCACTGCTGTGCCCTCTGCGTGCTGACCACCTCCCTGCACACAGCCAGCGCTGGGGAAGTAGTTAGGAAGTGGAGGAACAACTCATCCCAGCCAGGTTGTTGTCTGCAGCTCCCTCCACTCTGCGTTCCACACCCAAGTCCCCCAGATAGGCCCTGCTGCAGCATTCTCCTCTCCTGGCCACAGGCTCTTCCCTCAGCCTGGTGGGAGGAAAACACGCTGGTCCCTAAAACCCTGGGCCTGGTGTCTCCTCCTTTCTGTGTTCAGGAACAAAGCTGCAGCATGCAGAGTTTGCTCCTTCAAGCCCTCTCACTGGGCCAGCACTTGTTCCTGCTCCACGGTGGTCTGTTGTCCAGTTTGTCCCCTTTCCCTCCCTGTAGAGCGGGAAGCTCATGTCCTGGGCTAGGCTAACCATCGTGGGTGTCCCACATAGGACCCAGAGAGGGATGGAGCCCTCGTGTGCTGCTGGCAGTAGTTACATGCGTTTTCTGATGTATCGGATAAATGGATAAATAAAATAATCACTGCTGTTATCTCTTATACTGATGTCTCTGGGTGAACTATATGTGATAGATAATTCTGTTTTGTTTGTTTATAGTATTTGGATTAGGCCCACGAGATGATTAGTGATGGATGGATGGATACATGGATTGAATGGGTAAGTGGATGCATGAATGAATGAATGAATGGTGTATGGACGGGCAAATCAGTAGGTAGCTTGGTAGATGGACTGATCAATGGGTGGATGGATGGATGGATGGGACAGATAGGGATAAATGAATGAGTAAGCATAAGGGGGATGAAAAGTAGCCACATCTTCACCATGGTCAACAGACAGAAAACAGATGAATTGGTGGGTCTGACAGATGAGTAGACAGATGGATGACTATGTGGGGGTAGGTGAGACAGGTTGATACTGCATGGGTAAGACTAGATGGTAATGTATACCAATGGCTGAACAGACGGAATAGAAATATGGGTGCACAGGGATTGAGGATCGCTAGAACAGTGAGTGGACAGATGAGTGGTTGATGGATGTTCAAGGGGTAGACGGGTGAATTGATGGGTGGGTAGGTGGTGAGAGAGTGGGTGGATGGATGGATGGATTTACAAGTAAGGTGTGTGAGTTAAACACACACTACATGGAGACCCTCCGCTCTGTGTGGCCACTGCAGGAACACGTCCTGCTTCCCACAAGATACCTCTTGGAATTTCCACAGGGCAGAGAACTCCAGGCTGAGGATCTGTGACAATCCCCGAGATCTTCCAGGTGAGACATCTGAGGAGGAGGAGAAACCCCAACATACCTGGGCATCCTCTGACTCTTCATCTTCCTCCACCAAGCTCCACTCCTGGGAAAACCCAGACTCTGGAGAAGACAGGTCTGGGTGGGGTTATGGGTAGAGGAGAAAGGAGCCATGAGTGAGGAACCAGGCCACCGGAGCTTTTCCTAGTCTTCCCCTGGCATCCTGTCTTTCTCTGCTGATATCACACACACACACACACACACACACACACACACACACACACACACATACATGCCTATGGCCTGTATGCCTCAGGTGAGGCTGAAAACCTGGATTCTGACCCCACAGCTACCTGGAAGACCACACTGGGTCACAGATGTGCTCTACCCTGTCCCTCCACCTGTCCTCCAAGTATGAGCCTCGACACCCCTGGCCCCGAGCTGGACAGGGCAGCAGTCAGCGCTTCCCATCGCCCTGAGCCCCACTGGGCTCGGACCTCACCCTCACACCTCCTGGAGTAGAGGGCCGACCCTGGTGGACAGCTCAGCCCCTTCTGCGATGGGGTGTCCTTCAGGGGACCCCTCTTTCACAGTGTGGTCACCAGCCAGCTGGTCTCTGCCTCGTCTGAGCTCCGCCAAGCGTCGCACTGAATCTCCAGCTCCTCGTTCCTGACACACTGCAGGCGCCTGCAGGAGCTTTGCCCTCACCTTGTTCATTTCTCCCCACGCCCCTTCCTCACAGAGTCTGAGCTCAGCCTTGCAGCAGAGGCCCAGAAGGGACTTGTGAGCCCAGATGTGGTGGTGCACGCCTGTCATCCCAGCACTGTGGGAAGCTGAGACAGGAAGACTACAGTTTGAGCCACGCCTGGGAAACTTTAGCGATTTGGTGAGAACTTGTCTCAAAATAAAAATAAAATAATAATAATAACAACAACAATAAAAGCGTGTGAAGGCCCTGGGTTCAATCTCCAGGGTCACAGAAAAGTGACTGGATGGAGTCGCTGCCTCCCTTGCGGATCCTGAGCCCGCAGTGCCGCTGACTGGCTCTGGGCTGCAGATCACAGCCAGTCGTGAGCACTCAGGGCCTGCACCCAGGACCTTGACCCCAGCTCAAGGCCACCTGCCGGCTCCACAGCTGCATGGGCAACAGGACGAACGTCTCCGACCCACAGGATTGTCAGCCATCGATGACTGCCACGCTGCCCACTAAGCTGGGGGACGATGCCATGATTTTGTTGCCGTTGCTGTTTTGGTTTTGTTTTTGTAGTACTGGGGATCAAACTCAGAACCTTGCACTTGCCAGGCAGGCGCAGCACCACTGAGCTACATCTGCAGCCCTGTTTTGTATTGTTTTGGAGACAGGGTCTCTCTCTGTAGCCCAGGCCAGCTTTGAACTTGAGGTGACCCTCCCGCCTCAGCCTCCTGAGTGCTGGGATCACAGGTGTGCACCACACCTGCCCGGGATGACTTGTTACACAGCGTGCACCGACCGACTCAGTGCTCCATAAACCCTGTTGGCTCAGGGAGTGAAGGCGGTGTCCGGGCTTTCTCTAAGCTCTGCGGAGACTGCCCCAGGGGATCCCCGCTCTTACCTCTCCCTTCACCGTCACAGCTGCAGGCCCCCAGCTCCACCGCCACCCAGTCCTTGGTGACTTGGGATGGCTTCTCCCAGGCCCGGCTCTCCCGAGGCAGCAGCATCTTCACCCTCTCTGGCTCCAGCAGCCCCTGCATCTGCTCAGGCCTGAGGCTCTGCATCTCCTGGGAGGCTGTGGGGCTGTGGAGATGGCTCCTCCTCCTGCTCCTGCTCCTGCTCCAAGGTCCTGTGGCTCCCAGGCGCAGAAGTCAGAACCTGAGGACTGACAGTCATTCAACAAACAGTGACAAGGTGCAGGGAATGGGAAGAGTCTCAGATGCTGTGCTGAGTGTGAAAAACAGTGCAGTGATCAAAACGGAGTCCCAGACCTTGGAGAGTTTGCATTGCAGGGGACAAGAGAGGGAGGGAAGGGAAGGAGGCACACAGCACCCCGAGCGGGATGAGAAAATAAAGGGGAAAGAGGAACAGAGTGCCACAACTGGGCATGCACACGTTCAGCCTGCTGGAAGACAAAGCGGGCAAACCCTGAGACACGGGTGCGGGCAAGGGCTTCCCAACAGAGCTTCAGCTGCACAAAAATAACAGCGAGACTAAGCAAAGAGCCACTGCACAGCAAAGGAAATCACCCAGAGTGGAGAGACAGCCCACAGCATGGGGAAACTTTACTCAGCTCCTCCCAAACCGAGGACCAGCGTCTAAAATGTACACAGAACTCAAAAAACTGAGATTCTCAAAGCACAAGACCTAACTTTAAAGAATGGGTGACTGCAATGAAGGGACGACGGGCACACGGGCAATAAACACGGGAGAACATGCTCAACAGCACTGAGCACTAGGCAAACGCACACGGAACCAACACTGAGATTACCTCACTCCAGAAAGAACGGCCATCATCGAGAAATCAAACTATAACAAATTCTGATGAGGCTGCAGGGAAAAAGAAACCTTACTACAATGTGAGTGGGAATGTAAGGTAATACAACCAGTATAGAAGTCAATTTGGTCCAGCTATTGCTCTTCTAAGAATCTTCCTGTGAGAGTTAAAGATCCCATACTTCAGTGTCCACGCATACTCATGTTTATTGTAACACAATTCATCATAGCTAAATCCTGGATGCAGCTATGTGTCCATCAACAGACGAATGGATAAGGAAAATGTGGTGCTTACACACAATGGAGCACTACTCTGCCATGAAGAAGGAAAACCTTGAGTCGTTTGCAGGAAAAAGGATGCATTTTGAGATAACGTAAAGTGACATAAATCCGACATACAAACTTAAATATCACATGGGGTTTTTTTACATGAGAAACCTAAAGTATAAATAAAAAGCAAAGAAAAAGACGGATGGTAGGAAACACAGGGGTAGATCTTTTGTAAACAGGAATGGAACCAAGAGATGAGGGGAAGCCTCATCTCAGGGAGGGGAAGGCAAGAAAGGAGAGGAACTGAGGTACGCTGAGTCCATGCACCAAGTCCTCCAAGGAATGAAATCATCACTGCTACAAATACGTACTAATAGAAAAATAAAATTATTTAAAAATACTCCTGCAAAGAAGGAAAAGCAAACAGGCACAGGTCCCTGGGGCCAACCAGCAGAGGAGGAGCCGGAACCGGAAATGGCGGATGGCGGCGACCTCCGACCTCACGTTTGAAATTTCTCATAATATAAATGTGACATACGGGTCACATGCCATCATGTTTATTAAAATACATGTCTGTACTTTAAAGTGTCCTTACAAGGGACAGGGAGGCTCTGTCCGCTTCTGCTTTACGGAGCACCAGTCACGTCCTCCCCAGGAGCAGGCGTCTGGAGGCCCGGGAGACCCTGACTCCGACCCGCCTGGCCAGGGCCCCTGGGCAGCTGCACTCCGGCTCCAGCGCCCCCTTCCGGCCGCTCCGGAGCCTGCAGCCCCCCCCAGCAGGGCGCCCCCCCCCGCCCCCGCCCCCGCCCCAGGCTCAGCTGACCTCCCCCGCCCGGCCCCGGCCCTCTGCCTGGCTGTGCCTGTGTTCAGGGGACCCGACCCCCTCCGGCCTCCCAGACCGAATCCTCTCCCACCCACCGGCGTCCCCCTCCTCGGTCCCGGCTGGCCATGATTTACGGGGCGTTGAACCCAGTGCCTTTGTACCCCCAGCCCGTTTTTATTTTTTAAAACAAGCTCTCGCTAAGTCACGGAGCTGCCCAGGCGGGGCTGGAATTCTGATTTTCCAGCCTCAGCCCCGCACAGTGCTGGGAGGGGCACAGCTGTGTCCCACCCTCTCTGACCTCCGGGGAGGAGAGGCCTGTGCCCTGCAGCCTTTGACCCTCTCACTGCCGCTCCTCCTCCGGGCCAAGGTGCCCGCAGGGCAGAGCGTCCTCAAGCTCAGCCAGCGAACAGGCAAGTCTTTATTTGCCTGGTTACCCACGACTGTGAAAATCAAACAAAGGAACAAAATGTAAATGCGACACTGACTTTCCTTTCAAACCCACAGCCCACGGTTTCCCTTGGACACTGCTGCAGTGAGTTTTAGAAGCACGCTGACTCGTGGGTGCTTCTCTGGGCTCAAACTCGCAGCACCAGCACTTGCTAGGCTGAGACACACTCCCCAGGATGCTGCAGCCCCACCCGGGCGCTTACCCCCAAGAAAGGGAAACCCAGGACCTCGCAGAGCCTGCTTGGTGGAGCCTGGTATCCTCTGTCTTCCCCAAAACAAAGCTGCTCATATTCTCAGTCAAAGCCACTCATATGCATCAGAAAAACATCACCACCCGGGGTGTCTACCAACCAGAGGCAAATGCCATAGTTACGGCTCCTCCACACACTGGGCACAACGAAAACGGTGCACATGTGAGTGGACCTGAAATGCACATAAACCTTTACGCACCAGGCAAACTACACAGCCACATATAAAAACTACACACTCACACCCACATGCACGCCCATGGTTGCTCGGTATTCCTATAGCACTGGGCACAGATCCCTACATATATCAAAATCCATGGATTCTGGGATCTGTTCTGTAAAATGATACAATATTCTCATGCAGCCGTGCACACTCTCCGTGTACTATGCATTATCTCTAGGTAATATAATGTTTAATACAATGTAAATGCTCTATAAATAGTTGTTATGCTGCATTGTTTAGGAAATAATTCAGGTAGCACAGGAGAAATGAAGATGGGTAGAAAGGAAGGAACTTTTTTGTCTTTCTTGTCTCCTCAGCACTCTGGTCAGACCCCCGATCAGCTCTGTGTAGGAATCCTAATCACTTAGGGAGTGTCTGTATCGAAAGGTTTACTGGCCCTAAATTTACCTGGAATACTACACACACACACACACACACACACACACACACACACACACACACAAGACTGGAGACACCAAGGCAAGAGTAATGGAAGTAATTTTCAGCATTGGCTCCAGACCCCCTGGGCAGGTGCCGAGAAGTCTCCAACCCATAATCAGGTCACCACAGAGCCCTGCAGACCACCCGTAATGAGATCGCCTCCCCCAGCAGGAGTGGTCACCCAGATGGGACAGAGCCCGACATCCTCTCATGGGAACCGACTGCCTCAAACCTGAGGAGCTCCAGGGCTGGAGCCATAGCTGAGCCCATGGCCCACCAGCCCTGAACCTCAGCGCACCCTCGAAGGCCACGTCCTGCTCTTCAAGGGGCCAGTCTGACCCTGCACCCCAGCAGCTGCTTGGCCATGTCCTTTCCTTATTCTCCCTCCCTTGAATCTTCCTGCGCCTCACACTGCTGCACCCTGAGATCCTTCTCCCATGCAGGGAGTCAAGAGTCTCCTCAACAGGGTGACTCGAAGTCCCATCTCCTCTTTGGGGGGCTCCTCAGGCCCCATCCAATGACTTAACAAGAAAAGTCCATGTGTGTTCAGTAGAGGTGCAAGTTTTTCCAGGTATTTTCCATCCACAGGGGGTTGGATCTGTATACTTGAGAGTACAGAAGGCCGCCTGCATGCATGTGTGCACACACGGACACACACGTGTTAATCACGTGGATAGGTGGCTGGGTAGGAACAGACGCGACCCAGCAATGCGAGTGGCCTCACTGACAGAGACTGGACCACTGTCGCTGGGAGCCTGGGCACTGCTACACTGGGCCGGGGCAGGAGAGGGTGTGAGGACCCTCACCGTGGTCCTCATGCCAAGCAGACAAACCTCTCTGCAAACTCACTGAGCAACACTTATGCTGAACATCACATACTGGACTACGCACTTCATAGGCCTCACCAAAAAAGGAAAACGACAATAAAACTCAAGTTGTTTGAATGTCACATAATGCTGTGATTTGCTGCTGGAGGCTGTTGCAGTGTCTGCATTGGGAATTGAGTTCTGTGACATCGTGAGGTTATAAAGTCCTGACTTAAAAGGCCCCTGAGGAATTGTGTGAACTTCCTGCACACAAACTGTAACACGTTCCCACAAATTTAGTGACTTAAGACAACATGAATTTAGTATTTCATGTATTCATGGGTTGTTTTTTTTTATTCATGGGTTGTTTTTTTTTAAGTAGTAGGGATTGAACCCAGGACTTTTGCACTGAGCTACAATGTCAGCCCTTATTATTTTGAGACAGAGCCTTGCCAAGCCACTAAGTTGCTCAGGCTCAGCTCAAATTTGTGATCCTCCTGCCTCAGCCTCCCAGAGTGCTGTGATAAGAGGCATGCACCAGCTGAGTGTGGACTCAGCTAAAATTCATTACTCTACGGTTTTCTATACCAAGTCTGAGATAAAACAGGGGCAGGGGCAGGGCTGCTTCCTCCTGGCAGCTGCAGGCCCGAACACCTTCAGTGTCTTTTCCAGCCCTGAGAGGCCAGCAGCTCTGGTTCATGACTCCCCATCCAAGGCCGTCAGGGACCCTGGCCGCCCTCGGGAGCTCAGAGAGCCCGGGCCTGTGCCCAGCCCGAGGGAGCTGGCTGGCCGACACTGTGCACCCCAGCTGGAGCCTTGCCCCCTGCCTGCCATCGCGGTCCTGGGGCCTGGGCGGTGGCATCTTCAGGGAGCCGCCATTCTGCCGGCCAGGGGTCGAGGTGAAACCAGGGAAGAGGGGCCGGCGCGTGAGCAGCACAGGCGCTCATCGAAGGCGGGAAGGGGGGGGGGCAAAGGAAGCCCGGAGCCCGCTGGAGGAAGAGGCCCTGTCCAGCCCCGAACAGCACGGGACCGCAGCCAGCCTCCCACTTCCGAGCAGACGCAGTCTTCCGCTCTGGCCAGCGGCTTCCGGGGCCTGGTCCCGGCAGGAGCCCTCCCGCCTCTGCGTCGTCCTTGTGCGTGACTGAACCACAGCTCGCAGCGCCTGCGCAGCGCGGCCCTGTGTGCTCGCCTGCTTGGGGCTGTGGGGCACCACTACGTGGCGCAGCTCTCAGCCTTTGTAGTTTGGGTTTTTTACTTCTTACTCTTTTCCTTGCGGTCTCATTGAGTTGCCCAGGCTGGCCTGCAACCCAAGATCCTCCTGCCTCAGCCTCCTCAGTGGCTGGGGTCCCAGGCTGCTTTTCACAGGTACTAAGCTTGTTCTGCACTTGAAGGGCATGTTATGGTTCCTCTTAGAGCCCTGTCAGAGCAGCAATGGCCGGACTAACCAAGCCTCTGGGTCCTGGCTATTATGCGCCGCCCGCTCGAAGCAGGCAAACAGGTGCATCCCTGTCAGCCCTGCGCTCTGAGGCTGAGGCAGGAGGGTCTCCAGTTCGAGCCCACCTGGGCAAATTGGACAGATTCTGTCTCAAGATAAGAAATAAAAACGCCTGGGGACGCAGCTCAGTGTGGAGGCCCTGGGTTCAATCCCCAGTGCCCCCTGCCCCGCCACGCCAATAATTACTTTAAATACCTCGAAGAGGGAGAGCACAGGTCAGGCCTGGGTCGGACCTGGGGCTGCCTGTTTCGGCCTCCGTGGGATGAGGAGCTACCGCGCAGGTCCCAAACGCGAGCCCCAAGTGACCGCAGGCTCGGACTGCAGGGCAGGAGAGGCGCGGGGCGGTGCCGCGGGGCCAGGGCCGGGGAGGCCGGGGCTCGGCAGCAGGGTCACCCGTGACGGGGCGGACGGCCCGCAGCCGCCCTGGCCGCGGCTCGCTCCCCTCGCTCTGCTCGGCGGGAGTGGTCGGCTCCGCTCCAGGGCCGGGCGCTCAGGGCCTGGCCGGGCCCGCCGAGCGCAGTGCACGCGCCGAGCACTCATCCCGGACCCCGGAGAGGAGCGCTGCGCGGGAAGGCGAGCTGCCCACCGAGACCCCCGCCCCAGGGTCCCGCGGGCGATCGGGGACCCCGCCCCGCCCCGGCCCCTGGGGGCAGCGCCGACTCACCCTCCCCGCCCGCGGGTCCGCGCTGCAGAGCCGGCTCGGCGCGGACTGCGGCTGCGCACACGCGGAGGCTGGGGGCGGGGCGGGGCCGCGGGTCCCGGGCGCTCTGCCGCCTGCGCCAGGGCCGGGTGGGAACCGCCGTGGGGAAACCCGTCGCCGCGCCACGCACCTCCCGCGGCCGCCCAGGCTGCGATCTGCAGGAATCGCTCCCGTTTTCTGACAAAGTCGCGGCGTGGGGACAGCAGTGGCCCCGAAGGTCTCCTCCCCACGTCCGGCCTCCAGCGGGGCCGCGCGGCTGCTCCCCCGGCCTCGGCCTCTGCGTCCCCCGAGGCCGCTGCGGCTCCGGCCTGAGTCCCCCGCTCCACCGCCCGCCGGCCCGGCCTTCACTTCTGATACAAACGCGATTTGCTTGTCTTTCTGCCCACGGGGTCTTCCTGGGGGTCTTTCCTCACCCGCCCCTCCCAAACACACTTCGCTGTGTCACCTCGTACTTCGCAGCCTTGCTTCATAGGCTTAGTGGGTTGGGATTTGCGGAACGTTTTCGTGTGGTGTGGGGTAAGGATTTAACTCTTTTCCAAATGGATAAACAATTGCGTGACCTCAATACTCAAGACCACAATCAAAACAACCACCGTTTTTCCGCAGTGAAGAGCGACCTCTCTTTGCGTGTTGTCTCATTTAGTTCCCACAGCCGGATGTGGGCGGCTGCTGTCCCCACCTCACAGAGAAAGGAACCGGACACCAGATATCAGAAAATTGGCCCAGGGGACACACAGGAGGAGAGGAAGGGCCGGACCGAGGAGGAGACACTTCCTCCGCCTCTGACAGCGAGACGCGAAGGCCAAGACACCAGGGGCTGCCCGGCCGAGGCTCCCAGTCGGGCCGCGCTGTGCCCGGAGGCGGAGTCACCGCACCTCTGACCCGCGGTCTCCACGGAGGGCACAGAAACAGCTCCCGCCAGGGCCGCGTGGGAGCCAGCTCTGAGGGCTCAGGACGTGGCCCCGGCAGCAGCCTTGCGACTGTGGGACACCAGGGGCTCTGCACGAGGGGAAACTGCAGTTTTTACCCTGAAACGTCTTAGACTCAAATCCCGGGGAAAGAGTGGCTTCCTCGGAAGGTGGCTCCGAGAAGGCCAGCAGCGAGGAGGAAGTGTCGGAGCCCCACTGGATCGGTCTTCACCAAGCCGCGGTCCCTCACACGCACCCCTGAACTCGGGCTGCATCTCTGCGTCCGAGCACTGACACCACCTCACGGTGGCCTCCACTTCCACGTAACGTCTGTATTGCTATTTACTTGGCATTTTTATTTTGAATGAACCCATTTTCTAAAACCTTTCAGAAGCGCCTTTCTTTTGCTGGTATTTCTGGAGATTGAACCCAGGGCTTCTCAGTGAGCGACACCCCCACCCTCCTGGTTGTGTGCGTGGAGTCAGGGTCTCAGTCACTGGGCTGCTCGGGCCGGGTTCCGTTCGTGCCCCCCCCCCCTCGCCGTGACCTTCCAGGCCGCTGGGTTACAGTTGCACCGCGGTGCCTGGCTCAGAGGGCTTTTTAAAGGGAAAATCACATCACTCTCGCATGTGAAGGGCAGTTTTCTGTACAGCAATCGAAAATGGAAATGGAGCCTAGGGGAATCGACCCTAGCTAGATCCACGGCCTTTGCGGTGAGTATTATTGTTCTTTGTCCCCCGTTCCTCTGCTGCAGCAGGACACAGCCTCAGTCTGGCCATAGCTTCATGACACATCCAGGTGTGGGCTGAGACTGATGCCCACAGCCTTGTCCTTTTGCTGACTGCGCTTCATATTTTTCAGTATAACAAATCGTAGCTGTTGAATGCCCATCCGAGGAGCCCTGTGGGTCTTCCCGGCAGATCTTCCAAACTGGGGATGGTCTTTGGGGTCTCAACGCAGCCCTCAAACCCTGGACCATGATCTACAAAGACACGGGTGCTGCTGACACCGTTTGGATCTGTGAGTGGCCAGGAAAAGACAGAAATGCAGGCCTGGGAATTCACTGGCTCCACCATTCACAGAATATTTGTTAAACAACCTGTAGGTGGCAGATGCTGTCCTGGGTGGTGGAGACAGTGCGTGTCCCAGGCCTAGACCTGACTTTCTAATGACAAAAACAGACGATGGGCAAGTGAAGCAATGCGCGTCAATAAAACATAATTTATGCTCAGTGCCAGGAAGTGTACGAAACAAGTCAATGCGAAGGCAACTGAGATCACGTTGGGTGTGGGTCAGAGAAGGCCTTTATGGAGAGGTGACCTTGTGAGGCGGGCTGTGAGGATGGGACGGAAACCATGACACAAGAGCCCAGGACGGAGAGAAGGTCGGGACAAAGGAGCCAGCAAGGCGGCCAGGGCACCGGCAGGACCGGGCAGGGAGTGGAGAGGGCAGCGAGGCCGGGGGCCCAGCACCCTGGCCCAAGGGAGGGTCGCGACTCGGCCGTAGGTGTTGGGCAGCGAAGGCGGCGCGCTCAGGAGCGGTGTGAGGCCTCACCGGCCGCTGTGTGGGAGGGGGGAGAATGGGAGGCGCGCTCGGAGGCTCCGCAGCAGACGGAGTGAGGGGGATGAGGGCCCAAGGGTGGCGGATAGATTTGAGGTGCGCACGGCAGATGGGGCTAAGAGGCCCGCCCGTGCGTGCGAGGGAGGGGGCGCCTGGGGGCGGGCTCTGGGCAGGAGCAACCGAGTGTCTGGTAGGGCGGTGACGAGGACCGAGTCTTTGGCAGGGAAATCCAGAGTCCCCTTCGGGGCGTGTTCGGTGTTGGGCGCCTGAGCACCAGGAAGGCCTGGGAGAAGCGAGCTTGCATCTTGAGTGGGCGATGGCAAAACAAGCCCAGCACAGGTCTCGAGCTGTCCGCGGTACTGAAGCCGCGCGGCCTGAGCCGTGTGTGGAGCCGGAAAGCTCGCCCCACCCCCGTGTCCGCACCGTGGAACCCTTCGCCCGTGGGAGCTGTCCGTGGTGCTGCCCGTCGGCAGGAGCTGTCCTGGAGCCCTTCGGGGCGGGCGGGGAGGGGAGCGTCCCGGAGCAGCCGCGGCTCCACTCCGTGCGCTGTCCGCGGTGCTGAATAGCCTCGGCGCTGTCCTTCCCCGGGCCCGGGAGCCGTCCGCGGTGCCGACCCAATGTGCGCAGCGCTGTCCGTGGCTTGGAGCTGTCCCCGGTGCTGACCCCATTTCTGCCCGCTCTGCCCGAGTGGGCTGTCCTCGGTGCTGGATCTCCGCACGGACTAGGTGGACAGGACTCCCGCCTCGAGCGCCCGAAGCATGGATAGCCTAGGAAAAGCCCTGCTGCTGCCTGGAAATAAAACTCTGGGGAGAGTGGAGAGCGTGGGATAAAAGCACATGAGGACAAACTGCACAGGCATTTTTAAGCGGCAGCTTTGGCTCTTAGGATGGGGCCTGGCTACAACCTAAGTGAAGGGGTCAACCGTTTCCAACACAGCCCGAAAGGGTGTGCAAAAGGGGAGGTAGGGGAAGACATGTCTGGCATTCAGGCCTTGTTTCTCCTTGGACGGGGAAACAAGGGGCAGTGTGGGGAGGCTGTATAAGTACGTGTGAGTCATTTGCAAGGCTCTGGCCTTTCTGCTGCAAGAGGGGCTCACAAAAGGGGCACTATTCACACATACAAATGTGGCATGACTAGATTTCATTTTAAACATTTTAAATCCAGAGCCATATTCTTCTCACCCATATGTGGCATTTTTCAAAATGAGGAGGTTTGCAGTTTTAGATTTCTCAAAAACCCATGCTTTTAAAGACAACGAAAAGCACACATTGTGAGCTATGTTTGTTATTTCAGTATCACTTTAGACAGTAAATGGATGCGCCCACCATTCTTTGCTGGGATTAGCCTTGAATTATGTGGGCTTTGAGTTGTTCGGGCTCTTCAAGAATGAGTCTCTGGGGCCAGGGATTTAGCTCAGTGGTTCCGGCACCTGCCTCGCAAGCACAAGGTCCCAAGTTGGATCCCTGGTACCAAAAAAAAAAAAAAAAAAAGAATGAGTCTCTGGCATAAAAGCCACCCACATCTTCAAAATTCTTGAATGAATAAACAAGTAGGCACCCTGGGATTTAGCTCAGTGGTACCACTGCCTGCCTTCTAAGTGCAAGGTCCTGAGTTTGATTCCTGGTGCCAAAAAAAAATTGCCTTCCTGTGGCTATAAGATGAATGAACAAGTTTGCTCCTTATAAAGTTTGGTCACCAGGGAAGCCACAGCTCCCACGTCCCTCAGGAGCCAGGCATTTGTGGAGCTCCTGCTGTGTGCTGGACATTGCAGGAGGCACCGGGTGCCTGAGGCAGATCCCCGGCCTCTGAGAGAGCGATGTCCACACCTCTTAAAGGGGAACGGAAGCCTCTGACTTGGAGCCCTTTGCACAGTAGAGCATTTGTGACCTGGCCCATGGGTCTTGATACTGCCAGCTCTTAAAAGAAACTGATGCTTATTACATTGCATATTTGTTGTTGCTTTGCCTTCAATAATTGAGGGTCAGCCGGGCAT